GAAACGAGGTTGTGTGGGTACACACCAGTAAAGAATCAATAAACAAACCCCAGTCAGGTGGGTGCGTGGGACACACAGATCTTCCCTGGGTCAGTAAGTGTGTGTACAAGTAATCAATGTGTTTTTATTATTATTATTATTCTCTTGCCATTCTCTAGAACGGGTCGTTCGGTGCCACCTGCTGCATACATTACTACAGCAGGCTGTGTCCCAAAGCGACCTTGCCGTCTGTTGTCATGTCGGGTTGTTTAGTTCGAAGAAATATATTGGCTTTATTGACTGTGTACCTCAACAGGTAAATTAATTTTACAACGGTCTATAGACTACAGGTAAAGGACCACGTGACACACTTTCAGGCGTATTAGGCATATAGGGCTAGGCCTTTACTGTACAGACCAATCGACACTCGGTATGTGATGTTGTCAGCATCACGCCAGCCGCCTTTACTTCCTAAGACTTTACTTTGTACCCATTTAAGGCTGGGTCAAGCTGCGAAACAAGTCAGAATATGCTACAAGGTTGACATTCCATATTACGACAAACTCAGCATTTAAAGTGGGTAAGATCTGTGAAAATATTGGATTCCCTTGCCGTAGTCCAGCCAGCTGATTCATTGCCAACGTATTTCACGGGTCAGTAGAGATCGTTTCTCTCACATCTTCCCAATTATCTTCACTGCTTTTATGTTCTTCAATACTTGTGCATGCCTTTCTTCGGTCTATTAACTATATCTACTAATTCAAAATCAGTGAAATTATGAACTGTGGGCACATTATCATCAACATTCATCCACTAGCCTATAGCCCATAGCCCACGTTTCTTTGAAAGAAATCATCTAGAAACGAAACAAACAATATTTAGAAATGTCTAGATTGTACAGGTAAAACATCCACACACAAAAACACCCACACACACACAAAATAGTAAATAACATAGAATGACTGAAGCGATGAATCAAGAAACAACATCAGTGTATTCGGAACATTCCCACACGCGCTTCGTCCCCCTCTTCAGAGCCAACAAAGAGTCGACACGCTAACAGTACTAGTTACAGCCTCATTAAAGGTCAAATGTATGTGTGTTCACTGATATTTTGCTAAGGACACGATATTATCCTTTGCCCCTTCAAATATCATAACTTTAATATATTTACCTGTGTCTGAAGTAGGTTGTTAACAGAAAGAGGTAAAATATTTTTTATATTTATCTACATTTTCAGGAAGTCTCTGTTTTAATTGCTTGAATAACGAGACGAAAAAAATCTTGACAGCGCTTTCTTAAGTTGTTCACTTTATTTTGTGGGCGTGTGTGTGTGTGCGTGTGTGTGTGTGCGCGCGTGCGCGCGTGTGTGTGTGTGTGTATGTTAACAGTCTTTGTGTTTTTAATTCATAAATATCTTGTAAACTGATTGGGTATGAAGAGTATGGCTGATGATCTAAATAGGTCTCTGTGATGATCTTTAATCGTTATAGTTCTGAGAACAGATGTCAGCGCTGTGATATCCCTGAATGACTCTTCCGTTGATTGCTTGTTTAGTTTCTGAATGGCTCTTCAAGTCGTGAACTTTCGCTTTCAATTCGCACTTGCAGTATATACAACGAGCCTTAGTCGCATCTCCCTGTGCATCATACAGCTTTGTCTTCATTGTGGTTGGAACAGGCCAGATTGCGTCTCTATTGGCAGCTTACAGTTGACAGTGTTTGGACACACGCACAGCATCTTCTGGTGCCACGCTACAGGGACACATCTCCGTGTTTCCTACACCGAAAAGTTTGAACATATGTAGACGAAGTTTGTTATGCCTTGTCCCTAGTCTGAATATAATACACTGTTCCTCTATAGAGAGACAATGAAGCGAGTCTTAAGCAGAAAATTTGGTGTTTGTGTATGGAGCCACCTTTCTTGGATAATAGACTGTATAAACGCCTTGATCTCTTGGTGGAAGAAAAAAAAATAACACAGCAACGTTCGATATTGTGACTTTTATGTACCCAATCCCTTCCCAGCTGGACCATCCAATCCCTTGCTTTGGTCTCGCCCCACTCGTCCCTCGCGTGAAGTCTCGAACACAGGTTTATCAGTCTCGTTGAAAGGAGCACACAACGACCCAGTCAAACCAAATTTGGAATCTCTCCGGGGAGTTGACGAGGTTCTACCCGTGTGGTGAAATCAATTTCTGGGGTCTAAATATTGTTACAT